CGGCGGCGGTGCTGCTGCTATCGACGGCAATCGATGGGATAGCGGACATGAGTCGTCGTCGCCGCTACTCGACGCTTCTTCCACCAGCGTTCTCGACGGTGTTGGTGTACCAGGTGTTGGTGTTGACGGTGGTGACGGCAATCGGAAGCGTATCAAACGTTCCACCCTCGTCGTTGGTGCGGAGTCGTCGTCGCCGCTACTCGACGACGACGACGACGACGACGACGACGACGACGACGACGACGTTTCTTCCACCACCGTTTTCGACGGTGTTGGTAATATTGGAAGTGGCGGCGGGGGCGGCGGCGTTGTCGGTCGACGGATTTTCGGCGGTCGGCCTCTGGGTCTCTTTGTCTCAGCGATCGTTTTCGACGGACCAGCAGCAGCAGCAGCAGCAGCATCAGGTGGTGACGGCAATCGCAATTTGCGCGGTCGGCCTCTGGGTCTTTTCACTGGGGCTGCTCCATCAGCAGCAGCAGCAGCAACATCAAGTGGTGACGGCAATCGCAACTTGCGCGGTCGGCCTCTGGGTCTTTTCACTGGGGCTGCTCCATCAGCAGCAGCAGCAGCAGCAGCATCAGGTGGTGACGGCAATTGCAACTTGCGCGGTCGGCCTCTGGGTCTTTTTACTGGGGCTGCTCCATCATCAGCAGCAGCAGCAGCAGCAGCAGCAGCAGCATCGTCAACATGAGCGGTAGCTTCAGCTTGACGAACGTCGTTGTCACGCGCACGTCTATCGACCTGTCTTTGTATACGTCTTATTCTGGTATTTACCGCGCGAACATTCAGCTCTCTTCCATCATCGGGGAAATAACGGTAATCTCCAATTTTTACCACGTTCCATACCGCAAAGTGACGGCATCGTGTATTCCAAAGGTATTCGGGAACAAAATAAAAATTATCGAATACATAGCGTCTGAACGTCGCCACGGTGTCAGCGACGTTCTCCTCCGGTATGTTGATCGCCATTCGTGCGATTCTGGCGATGGGAGCGGTCGGATCGAGCACGATGGCGTTTGCCACGCGGTCGGCCTGTACGGTCCCGATTACTCTAAGGTTGTGTCCCGTCGGGAGACGTTTGTACAATTCGAAAAAGGCCTCCAGGCTGAACGGTGATATTCCGCGACGCGCGTTTCGCATAATTGGCACAAGTGTATCGTCTATCGCACCTTGATGATTCTCGATACAACGGTGCGCCCACGAGGCGTGGACAACCGTTAAAAAGTAGACGGGATCGTCTGTCTCCATGAGACGATGCACTTCCCACACGTGTCGGACGGCGTGCGCGAGAGCCGCCGGTACGTCCTTGGCGTATATGGCGAAGTGTCGCTGGTACGTGTCGGGAGCTACGTTGTGATACAGCGGGTTTCGCAGCTCTACGAATTCGTTGCAAATGGCCCGCATTTCGCTGCCTCCGACAAAGACGTTGCGACAAACGGTGTAGTTGTAATTTCGGTTGAAGCCGTGTACAAAGTACATAACTCGCAGATACGCCTCTACGGCCGTCGTAACGAAATTGTGCGGCATCGTGAGGTGTTCGCGTAATTGTCGGCGGTAGAGTTCGTTCGCTCCTCACAGCAACCTTACGTCTCGTTAAACATTGGCATCGATGTACTTGTCCCATTCGTTGATTCGGTACAGCAATTGGTGTCCCACTATTTTTGTCACCAATCTGGTTTTGCGGTTTTCGTCGAACACTCCTGACCCGTTAATTTTTCGGACGACGTCGTGCCTCCTCGCGTCGAAGGTGAAGACCTCTTCGAATCGCGTCGCGTATCCGTGCCGAACGTATTCGTCGAAGAAAAAGTCGACGTCGCGCAGATGTTGCTTAATGTTCAGTCGCGTGCCCAGTAATTTGCGGTCGCCCTCGTATCCTTGACAGATCAGATACGTCGCCAAAGAGCCGAAATTTACAGGCAGAGCCATCTTGGCCGCCGAATTGTATACCTGGCAATAAGTGACGAGGTGCTTGGACCACGTGGGGGACGCGTGGCACGTAAAGTTACCGTACTGGCTCATAAATCCTACGCGGTATCTCCTGATTGCGCCGTCGCCGAGAATAATGGCGTTGTCGAAGAGGCTTCACAATCGCGTCGGTAACGTCCTGTCGGTCGCCTCGGCTCTCGTCCCGTTGAGACGCACGACGTACGGTCTGCCCTCATCGTCCGTCAGAGTGTTCGCTCTGTGCAATTGGACGACGTCCATGTGCGGATGATCCACGTAAGCGACGTCGCGCAGGACTCAAGCCGCGTGTTCGCACGGCAGTCTGAGGCCGTGCATGCATTGATAGAATCGCACGACGTGGATGCCGTGCGTGTTCAATAAGTCGAGATTCGACAGTTGTTGCGTAACGAGGCGCGCGTATCGACCGAAGTCCTGCTGAGCGACGTTGAATTTTCGCGCGACCTCGTATTCCGTTGCGGTTATTCCGGTTCGCGCGGTCACCGTGCTCGTCGGTAGATTCTTTGCCGCCGCTATGATTACGTCGCGAATGAACGACAACGTGGCTCGACAAAGGGGTCTGTCCCTCTCGCGACCGGACGAACGTCGGAAAGCTGGTTGTTCCGAGTCGCTGTCGGACACCGCTGCCGTAGCCTCTATCTCCGCTTGCGTCGCCGTCGAATCGCCCTCCGTTTGGAACAACATGTACAACAATCGTTGGTCGACGGTCGTGAGTTTGCACTCGTACCATATTCGTTTCGCGCTCGCTTCGTCCGGTCGAGCGACGAACGTCGCCGGACGGAGCAGTTGGAATTTCTCTCTATTGTTGAGGTACGTAGTTAACTTGACGTTGGCGCAACGATGAATCGCCGGTGGTCTTGTTTCGACCGTCATCACCGTTTTACATACGAATGGCTCCAACGTGGTCGCCGCGACCAAAATGGAGTCCACGTCCGACTCGATCAAGACGCCGCTCATGTCTCTCAAGTCGAGTTCGACGGAAATGGGATTGAAGATTCGTAGTTCGTCGGTGGGTAGGTACGTAGAGGCGCTGCTGGCGCTGCTGCTGCTGCTGCTCCTCCTGGCGCTGCTGCTGCTGCTGCTGCTGCTGCTCTTGCTGCTGCTCTTCCTGGCGTTGCTCCTCCCTCCGCTGGTGGACGGCGTCGGCGTCGGTGTTGGTGGCGGCGGCGTGGGGGATGGCGACGGCGTCGTCGTCGGTGGTGGCGGCGTCGGCGTCGGTGTTGGAGGAGACGGCGGCGTCGTCGTCGGTGGTGGTGGCATCGGCGTCGGTGTTGGAGGCGGCGACGGCGTTGGTGTTGGAGGAGGCGGCGGCGTCGTCGTCGGTGGTGGTGGCGTCGGCGTCGGTGTTGGAGGCGGCGACGGCGTTGGTGGTGGAGGCGGCGGCGGCGGCGTTGGTGGTGGAAGCGGCGTCGGCGTCGGTGTTGGCGGCGTCGTCGGTGGTGGCGGCGTCGTCGTCGTCGTCGTCGCTGGTGGCGGCGGCGTCGTCGTCGTCGGTGACGGTACATTTGTTGCCGTTGTTCTTCTCGTAGCAGCCGCTGCTACAATTTGCGATCGTTTTAAAGTCCATGTAAACGGTGGTTGTCGCGGACCAGCCGGGACGACTGTCTCTTGCCAGATAATTCGCGGTAATTGACGCGGTGTCGGTGGTGTTGTTAGTGGTGGCGTCGTCGGCGGTGGTGGCAGCGGCGGTGGCGGCGGTGGCGGCGGCGGCGGCGTCGGTGGTGGTAGTGGTGGTGGTGAGGTCAGTTTATAGTCCTGGCGACTAAAGTTAGGGTTCATGAAAATAACGGTGTCCCTGGACCCTCCGCGGCTCGCCGACCCGGGCGTGCCCTCACCGGTCGCGCGCGCGACCCACTCATCGTTCACTACGACGAGGAGTCCCGCGCGAGCCGGGTCCCGAGTTCTCCCGGGAGGGTCGGCTATGCCATTGTCCCAGGAATGGTTCATCTGGGTCGGGCTCCTTGGTATGCCCCCTACACATCCGCGGGCAAGGCCCATCGAGGAGCCACCGCACCGCGGGTTTTCGGGGGTCCCCTGCCTCCGACAACAGGGGCACCGCGGAGGGCGCCGCCACGCGCGCGGGACACGGAGACTCCCCTGACGTTCGGGAGGGAAGTAGGCCGCAACCCCTCCAACGCTCCCTCCCGCTAGGGGGCCGGCTTAGGAGTCTCTCGGGTCGCCGGCCGAGGTAACCTTCGGCACCGGCGACCCCCGCCTTCGTTCGATTCATCGCGGACAGTTTAGGATAGACAGAGGCGTCCCACCGTACCCCTCCCGCGCGCAAAGCTGCACGGGGGATATCCGGCCGAGCAGCGCTCGATTCCGGGTCGTTCCTAAAGGAAGATCCGGTCGAGCAGCGCTCGATCCCAGTCCCCCGCCGCCGCCCGCAAGAGGGCAGGGCACAGGCGCTCCATCAGTGGATGCGGTCTCTGTCCGATGAGCCCCCCCCCCGCCGGCCTTAACCAGGAAACGTCCTGGCAGCCCGACGGGTCCTCCCTCCCTCCCTCTCGCCCTTCACAAGGGGTTGCCCGACCCAGACCTCGGATCAGTTCCGAGCGGCCCGGACAACCTCTCGTTGGGGGTAGAGGTGGTGGTAGTGGTGGTGTGCTCTTGGACCCTGCGCAGGTTCTCTCAGTCGTCGATCATCATCAGTTAGGCCCTCTCGGTGGTTGGACCACCGATACCGCCTCGGCGGATGAGATGTACGAAGAGAGAACGTACGCAGGGTGGCTCCCTCACCGCGCCAAGGTGGCACACCGTCGAGGGAGTAAAAGGTGGGAGTGGATAGGACGCAAGGTAAGTATGGAGAGGAGGTAGGTAGGTAGGTACGTACGCTTAGTTAATCGTAACTTTGTTTCTATGTTTCAAGTCAGGCCTCGTTTCTCGAAGGGATCATCGTCATCGTCATCGTCATCGTTATCGTGGATCAACGCTGGACAACGCGAGGGGGGAT